TTTAATAATTAAGAATGGATTTATCTAACATGTACTTTTAAGGCACATGTTAAAAATGTAATAAATATATTTTTTATAGCTAATTTACATTAAAAATTATAAAAATTAATATATATTTTAACGTTATTAATATGTTGATAATTTTAATTAGTTAATTGATTAAATTAAAGTCAACATTTATACTTTTAATAAAAATTAATTATAAAAAAATACATTTAGTGCACCTAAGGGCACAACATAAAAAAATTCATTAATTAAGAATTTCACTTTTTTTTATTAAAGATCTTAAATCCAATGGCAATATAATAATAAGAACTTAATTGAGTTCTCATATTGGCTAAATTTAATGCTTGCTTTATTTTGTTTTAAAAAATTTATTTTCTATAAAAATATACATAATGCAATTGGCAATATGGATTTTATTTATTTGTTTAAAATTCAAAAAGAAAATACCATTTATCTGTAATAATTTATTATTTTAAAAAAATAGTGGCATCTCCCTCTTGACTTTAACTCTCTCCTCTTTTTCTTGTTTTTTTTTTCTTCACATTTATAGAAATTTGAGAGAAATACCCTTCTTCTTGTAAAAAAATTGAGTAGCTTCTTTTAAACCACCTTTGTTTTTCTTAGCTGAGAGTGTAAGAGACATCCTTGATGAGTGAAGCCAAAGTGGAAGACTACACTTCAAGTGGTTGACTACACTTCAAGTGGTTGGACCAAACCTCTATAAAAACATTGTGCAAAGCTCTTCTTCCCTACTCTCTCTTTAATTTATCACTTAACTACAATTGTGTACTTATATAATTTCCCCTTAACCTAATCATAAATGAAAAAACAACTATATAATTACCACATTCTGCATGTAATATGACTACCATTTATTATAAGCCTATAACTTAGAGAAATTTAGTTAATATTACTGTAAAAAATTCACTCCAAAGTGACATACAGACCAATGTCCAAACAAATTAAAATCATCCATCGATAAACCGAAAGTAGTTCCATGAAAAATCAACAACATAACAAGTTCTAAGTTCACAACCTCTTTCACAACCATCATTCCAACCCAAATGGACCCGGATAATCTGCATCAAATCTCGGTGGTAAACATAATCATCATGTGGAGGATTGATTGGGGATGTATCAACTGCTTCTGACTGTCTCCCTACATTGCCCATGGGGATTCCATGCTCCATTGGGAGCTGCATTGACATATCATGCTAAAATGATGGCCCAGCAGGAGGACATGATGTCCCAATAGGAGGAAATGCTTGCCCAATAGGAGGAAATGCTTGCCCAGTAGGAGGAAATGATGGGCCAACCATAGGGGGGCGCATCCCATATGCATTAAAAGTAGCAAATTGTTGTGACAAACATGATTGCATCCTGCCCATCTCTTCCATCATGCGTTTCATAACTTCTCTTTCCTCCTTCACATGGTCTATTTCCGTCCTCATTGCCTCCATTGTCTCCCGATCCTGTGCTTGTTTTTCAGCAAGGTCAGATATCATCAAACTCATATATGAATTCTTTCCTGGCCCTCGTTTTCTATAGGTAAATCCAATATCCTCTGGATTGACCTGTGACCCAATCCCGGGCATGAAGTTGGTATGACATCCCCCAACAGCATTTGCCCATGCATCATTATCTCTTGGTGGCCATGAAGCTGAGTCTGACCCATGTGTAATAGAGCACTCAACAACATATGTATCCTACAAAAGTAGTGCCCAAAAATACATGATCCATAAGTGCGAATTTAGGAATGATTTATGCATGTAACAATGCTAAAATATGTAACCATTTGTATTAACATAACAATGATAACAAAGTACCATTCGTTAACATACAATCACTTGTCTTTTTTACTTAGTACTATAATATTCAATTCTCATACAATGTTGCTCCTATTTTCAACATACCTACTCCAGTTACTCAATACCAAAATCTATTTCACAAACACCAACATATATTGATATTTACTTATGCAAAATTCCTTTGATATTTTATTTAGTGCCTCTAGCCTTTTAATATACCATTTATTATCTTTTGTTAACAATCCACATCACTCATGGGACAATCTTATATACTATGATTGCACTTACATGACGAGCTTTATGTTTTTCGCCACACCATGGAGCTTCCTCACCTCGGGAGACACCTTTTCGCATTGTATGTGTTTCCCTGTATAGGTCTTGATGTCCCGGTCTCACCCCCCCAACAGCTTTGGTCTGTATGTCACAACCATATTACATCAATTACCAAGTCATCTATGTTTATAGTTTACAGATTATTATATAATTTTTTCTTTTTTCCCAGCCTTACCATCCTTTCTTCGTGCACATCAAAACTCACAGATCCTATTGTGTGCGTCACCCTGTCACCAGATCCACGATTTTTTTTCCCCCTACCACTGAGACTAGCAAACTCAGGAGAATCCCAGTAAGTGCATAGGTTTGGCCATAGGTGATCTGGCACCCATATCGGTTTGTAGTCACTGTTTTTCCTCCATTTGTCCCGCTCATCCTTCATGTTGTCACTCCATCTTTTCTTCATTGAGCTTAAGAAAGCCTTCCTCACTGCATCCTCTTCTTGCACAGGCCATTTATAATGTGCCTGTAACAACATATTGACCAATTATTTTGTAGTACACTAGTAACACGTACCATACTATTAGATTATATAGACAATATTCCATTTTATTATGCATACTTTGACTTTAATACAATTAGCATTAATCATAGGTACTTATTAAATGTCATGATTATGTATGAACTGACAATTCTTTTTACCTTAAATTGCTCCCACACTTGCACCCGTTTTTCTTCTGGAAACAGCTCATAGGTGAAGTAATCACCATCATAGAACCTCTTCCACAAGGTTGTAATCAATCTTGGCACTTCTACATCCAAGAATTGTCTATTGGGTGAAAGTTGTATCAGTGGTCTCTCATCAGGTGTTTTTGGACCTTTCTTAGCTTTGTTGGGCCCTCTTCCCTTCTTGCCCTCTCGATTTCCTGAAACTGCAACATGAATTGATGCCTGTGGACTAATAGACTGTGCTGGACGTGGCTCCATTATTGGGGTACTCGAACATCCTAAATCTACAGCATCAGATTGTGCTCGTCTCCTTGCTGTCCCCCGACTGCGTGCGGAGCTCATGGGCCCACCTGACATCCTGCAAAACATATGATCATGTAAAATATGTTAGTACTTTTTCACCAAAGATATATATTTCCCTATTTATGAGAATTATAAAATTTAAATTATAATATTAATTATTATAAATAAAAATGAGAATTTTAATTAATGTAAATTGAAATTTCATTTTAGTTAATTATTACATTTGACAAAAAATTTAAATTTAAAAAAGGATAAAGATATGTACACCCACCGGTTCAACACCGGTGGGTGCACATATTATAGAATAAAAGTTTTCCTGTATAAACCAAAAGATAAAATTACAA